GGCACATGGCTCCCACAGCCTTCCCCAAACCCCTTGCAGTGCCCAGTCCCCTAAGGCAGAAGGGGATCCCAGAATGGACTGAAAAGGGTTCTCATGTGTGCTCCGTTGTAGATTGGGATCGTGATATGGATTATCTGGAAGCCCTGGTGGAAAATGGCTTGAAATTCTTGGAGGATGTTGGAGGCAAGTTCTCAATTCCCTTTTTACTTACAGAATAATCAATGTCAAGGTGGCAAGAGCTCAGCTGACGCTGCCCCTGCCGCGGCTCTCCTCGCCCTGGCTAGCTCTTGCTCCCTAGCCGCTGGCAGTGCCGGGAGTGGGGAACGGTCTGGGAGCCTGTTGTCCCAGACTGAACCTTCAGAGCCTGTAAGCCACCAAGCTCTGCGGTCTCAGGTGCGTCGTGGGTGCCCGATGAAGGCAAGGAGGAGGCTCAGAGTCCCAGGTTCTCTCCAGAAACCAGGTTTTATTCCAGGGTCGGGAGCAGTGGATGGGGGAAGGACTGGAAAGGTCAAGGGTAGGACGGTCTGAGCAAGGAGCACCTCCGTGCGCTCCAATTTAAGGTGGGGAGGGTACAAACACAGGAACCAATCAGGGCATCTCAGGGGAGGAGTTGGGGGAGGGTTTACAATGTTGGGGACCAATAGGAATAACACGTGGGAGGGGCGGCAGTCACAACGCCAATGGGGCTTCGAGTGAGGGATAAATGACAGGGAAGGAGCTAGAACAAGAGGTGGGGTTTACATAGATTGATGGGGTTCAGGGGCAGGAACAGGGTGATGGACAAGGAAGGTTCAGGAAAAAGGGGAGGGGTTTACAAAACTGACAAGCGGGTAAAACCATTACAACTCATGGGGGGAATAACATCAAGAACAAACCATTTAAATTAATAACCTGAACAAAATAAACGGACGGCAACACTCAGCCATGTGCCATTTCCCTTAACATAATCTCAGGGGTGATGGATTCTGGAAATCTTGTCCCACTGCCTCCTGCAGCCTGGAGGGATCCCACAGGATTGCTGTCAGTGGGAGGAAGGAGCATTTAGCTGTCAATGTTCTTCCCATGTGCAATACCAGTGTCTCTTTCTGTGTGCTCTGTGCAGCCATGGAGAGGAGCAGAGAGGTAAGGGGCCAGGCCCAGGGCTGTGCCACGGGGCTGTGTCTTGTGTGGCTCCTTTGCTGGCCCCAGGGAGCCTGAGAATCTCCTACAGAGCCACAGCAGCTGTTCTGTCCTGCCTTTCTTTGCAGACAAACCTCTTGATGAAGGTGATGCAGCTTCACAACCCACACCTAGGACTGAGCCTCAGAGAGGTGGTGAGGGTATGTCAAGGCCTTTCCCCCAGGGAGAGCGGCCAGCTCAGAGCCCAGAGCTCGGTCAGGGCAGCATCGCTGAAGGTTCCAGGACAGAGCTGTGCACGTGTGTGCCCTTGGCCTGTGTGATCCCCTCACCTCTCCTGCAGCTCAGAGCTGCCTGTGCAGATCAGCAGAGATGAAAGAAGCTTCTGTGGCTGTTTAGTTACAGGTGTGTCTGCAGGGAGCACTTCCCCAGATCTTGAGGTGGTTACTGCACCCAAGCCCGACTCCCATCGCAGGGGTAAGTGGTGTGTCCCTGCTGAACCCGCAGACTGAGCACTGGTTTTGCGGGATCCATTCCTGGGAAATTGAAATATTTTGTGTTAAGGTCCTCCAAAAAGAAAGACCCAAGATAATGGAACCAAAAAGTCTCTATTGTCAAATGATTTCCTGAGACCAACAGAGAAAGAAGTGCAGGGAGGACAAGGTGAGTCCATCCTTCTCCTGACACTCAGAAGCCAGGGGCTTTCTCTGCATACCTGGACACGCTGTGCCCGGCACAGCAGGAAGAGATCCATGGCAACCTCGCTGTCCTGCTGCTGCTTTCACAGCCTGCAGGGCTGTTTCCCAGCCTGGCCTGGCTGCAGCTTCTCCCCAGCCTCTGCAGGAAGGCATTTGGCATCAGCTGGCAGGGAGCCCCAAGTGCACCACAGGCCATGCACACCCTGAGATCCCCTGCAATTTTTCAGTCTCGGGCTAGATCAGTTGTAGGGGGTGTTTGGAAGAGGGAGGGCCCCAAAGCAGTTTCAAAAGCATGGGCTTGTTCCTGATCCTTATCCATATCTTTGACAAGCATTTTCTGAAGAAGACCAGCACAGCGAAGAGGAATTATACCATGCAAGCTCAGGGGTTTGGGTACTGAGATGTCCTGTGCAAAATGGGGTGGCAAGGTGCCTGCAGGCCCCAGCTCTGGGGGAAACAGAGAACGTCCTGCCATATCCACTGTGCTGCCAGCTCAGCAGAGGAGCACAGAATGGACTCACGCTGCCCATTGCTCCCACAGCTGGCACCACAACTCATGCTCAGAATATCGGGGAAAGCATGAGAAGAATTTTCAGCCCAGGAACACATGGTTTGATTAAGCTAATGGCCATTTTGGTTGCTGGAGCCCTTTTCCTGATGATGTGCTGTGCTGGAATCTGGTATTGTTGGAACAGAAAAGGGTGAGTGTTTTGCTGATCTCTACCTCAAACAGCTTCTTGAAAGGTTGCTCATAGTAAACATTCCCAGTGGAGGCTGCTGTGGACTTGTGGATAGTCCTTCGTTGCCCAAATAACTCTGCTGAGGGTTCTGCTGCTGCTCAGCCCTTTTATTGGCCTCCTAATTGCTGGGCCTTGTCCTGGGGAGCCCACTTGGGCTGCAGCCAGTGCTGGCTGCCACTGAGGCTGCCTGGCCAAGAGCAGCCCCAGGAGCAGCAGGCAGAGGCAAAGCAAGGTGGGCAGGACAAAGAGCGGGAATGAGATTGCCCTTGAAAGGCAGAGGCGCTCTGGGGCCTGCTCCTGGCCAGGGACGCTGCCCAGAGCCATCCCCTGCTCGCCGGGGCCTTGAGGGGCAGCTCTCCAGCTGGGCCAAGCTGTGCCAGCAGCTGCAGCCGTGCTGGGGAGCCTTGGCCGCTCTGGGCCCTGCTGTGCAGGAGGGTCTCTGTGTGCCAGCGGCAGCTGGGGGCCTCAGCCACCTCCTCTTTGCTCAGGAGCACCTCTGCACCTTCAGAAGACCTGACAAAGACTTTAGTCAGTGAGCACTTGACCTGTTATCCCTGCGCTTCAGCTCTGTCCCCATCTGCTTTGCTGCGGGTGCAGCCCTGTTTTGAGGGCGTCATAAAACCCAAACCTCCAAAGCGAGACCCTCTGCCCCTGAGCCCCCTGGCCCTGCACCCTGGCCAGGACTGAAGGTGGGCAGCCCCTGTCCACCAGAGCAAGCCTTGGCCCATGTTTTGTGTTTAAATATTGGCCCATGTTTTGTGTTCAAATATTGGCCCATGTTTTGTGTTCAAATAAAGAGTTGAAACTGTTACCCCAGTGTCTGGCTGGTAGCACCAGCAAAGCCCACATGGCACCAGCCCCAGCTGAGCTCCATGTCCAGGAGCAGCCGGTGACTCAAGCCAGAGTTTTCCAGCTAGCTCAAATACAGGTTTTCTTCTCTCTCCGGCCCACTGCCAGGAGGGATCTTGACCAGAGCTGCTGTCTGGGTTTAGATCAGGATTTGAGCAGTCCAATTCCCTCTGAGCACAAGTCTATAGACCAAGTAAAGAAGCTGTAATAAATTTTTATTATTTGTTAATCAAATTAAATATTATTACTACAACATGATTGCTAAGGTTGTTTTAAAAAAGCTAACATTGCAGAAACGCCTAACCACAATGACCACATATGCGGCTGTGAAGGCAAGAAGCTGAAACTGCAGAGCTGGAGCTGCAAAATGCCATCCAGCTGTACAAAGGGGAAGTAGAACATCTCCTTATTAAGGACAATTGCCTACCCACGACCACCAAGAGGCAGAAGAAGACCCCTAGCAACAGGAGGCGCAGGTGCTGATGCGATCCAGGAAGACACAGATGCAGGGACTGTATAAAAAAGGGAACTTCCTCAGGCAAGGCGCGCGCCATGTGCAGGACACTTAAGAGGAAGTGTCCTCCAGCTCGCCCCCAGCTGGGTTTTTGCTTGCTTTACTGCTTGCTGAATTAATAAATTTGGCTTTCATTAATTATTATATAAATTGTCCCTTCTATTTTGTCACGACAATTTATAACAGAAGCCATAAGGGGGACTCTTCTGGGTTATATTTCACAATGTATTCTTGCAAAGGGAACGCCAGGAAGAGGCAAAGGTTTGGGGGTCTGGGCTGATTATTTTAACAGGACTTCTTTGGAGGGTGCGAGTTTCAGAAAGAACCAATTATTTTTCACAGCTAGCAAACTTAAAAACTTTTTACAAATCAATGTTAAACACGCTAAGATAAGAAATAACAGACACAGACTCCTTCGAATGCCTACAAAGGTGTAGGAGTAAACTCACAGGAGGGGACTTGGGTATTCGGGGAGAGCGGGGCAGTGGACAGTCACCCGACCTCCTTTAGATGGGACACAGGAGACGGAAATGCCCCGGGGACCACCGGCGAGAACACTTCACTATCCTCGGGAAACCAAAAGGCTGAGTCCCCCGCACGTTCCTGGGCTGGGGCCGGAGAAACACGGAGCGGCCCCGACTGCTGGAAATGACAGCGGCGCTTTCTCTCCGTCCCCTCAGGCTCCCCGCTGCATCCCCGCGGCGGGGCAGAGGGGGAGGGCGGTCGGCACGGCCCCCGGCGGCAAGGACTCAAACAGACGGGTCCGGAAAAAGGAAACTCCAGTAACAACGATAAACCCGGGCCCCGGCAGGGAGCGGGGAAGGACAGAGGAAAAAAGCCTCAACCTCTGGCGCTCCCCCCGGAGTGGGGTACGGGGGAGGAGTGGGCACTCCCCGAGCTGACAGCCAGAGGGGAATGACACAACAAGCCGGGGCTGACCACGCAGGAGCCAGGCAGGGGCTGCTGTGACCAGCGGTGGGGCCCCGAGGGGCTGGGGGAGTCCAAGCTGAGCGTCCCTGGGCTGAGGGCACATTTCCTTCAGTGGCATCACCTGGGCCTGCACCTCATGAGGCACGCAGGGCAAATTTCAGCTCTCTCCTGAAGTGTGCAGGGTTCCCACATGAGGTGTGCAGTAGGGTTTAATTGAGAGGGTTTTTTACTCTTCTCAGCACAGCAAAGGGGACACTCTTGGCTGAGGTTTTGCAGTGCTTGGAGAAAACCTCTTGCGAGCCCTTGGGCCTTGCCTGTGGGCACAGTGGGCAGGTGGAGCCCATCCCTTGAGGCCAGTCTGGGCTGCTCAGGCCGGGCTAGGCCAGGTGAGGGCCCTGGCAGGGAATGGCTGCAGCTGTGGGGTCTGATGAGGCTGCCAAGCTTCAGCCTGGCCCTGTGCTGCAGCCAAACAGACATTTACAGCTATGGCCATTCTCTGGGGCACAGGAGGCACCCAGGGGTATAACTGGGGCAGTGGCTTCTCACCCTGAAGGGAGGCTGGCTCTCTTGGTTCCGAGGGCACAGCTTCAATCCCAGTTACCTTTGTGAACCTGCTGGGGAAGTGTTGAGGGGCAGAGAATTCCAACCCTTCTCACTGGGAAGCATGGCTGCTGG